AGTCATCTGAGCTTGTGCGCGAACTGAAGGAAAAGCTTAACGAGCCACACAAAAACTTTGCTGAGAGCAATGCAAACCCAGCTACACCAGTTCAACCTGGTAAAAGAAAGTTGAGAACTCCCGATCGTGGCGCTAGCCCAAGCGAAAGTAAGTCTAACAAACAGAAATCTGATCAATTGAAATCAAGAAAAAGCTTGTTTAAGGAAGCCAAAGAGGACTCTGACGACCCTGACATCGTTCTGAACAAGTTAAACATCGATGATTTAAAGCAATGTGAAGGACGATCCTCCGTGAAACTCAAAGTGTTACTCGTTCACCCGAACGGCGATGTCGATGTTAAAAACCCAACAAATTCTAAAGTAGTCCAAGTAATAAAAAATATTGCAAATTCACAGTGGACTGGAGCCGTTAATGGTTTACTCGACCATCCAGATGAGAGCCTGCAACGTGAACTGCAAACTGCTCTGCAAAGAAGAGTGAACAGAGAGTTTGTAGCGTATAGTAAATCGGACTCTGTTTTAAAAGCAACTAAAGGCGATGAATTGGCTGCGTTTTCTAACAAACTTGTAGCTGTTGAAGCTCGAACACAGTGTCCCTTATGGGATGCATGCATTCGAGGAGATACTGGGGCTAAAGGAACTGTGAACGAACTGGCGCTGATGACTGCGATCGCTGCTCGCACACGCAATCCTACAATGTCTGCAGTTGCATTTCGTATCTCATCTATACTTGTGCATAGTGGGGCAAGGTTTGAAGACATAAGGCGCCTAAACAACTTGGGTGTTTGTATGTCACCTAAATCCGCAGTCAGAATGCAGAAAAGCATGGGAGAAACGTTTGATTCTAAAGTGCTAAAGTGGAAGAGTGAAATCGAAGAGAATAAGGGCTGCATTCAACTGTTAGGAGAGGTTATCGAAAAGCAAACACCGCCAGCTGAGGAAGACTCGATGGACCTGGAAATAACCTTTGATATCAGAGAAGAAGTCCTTAAAGCCTACAGAAATTATAACCCAAGTGTGTATGGAAAGATTGAGAAGGTGTTTGGCAGTGAACGTAAGTTAATTTCAGAAGAGTGTATGCAAAACACTATCCACCAGCTAAAAGGAGAAAAGCTACCCTTTTACAAGTAAGTGAGAAGGGACAGCAAAAGGTATCTAAAGAATTAAGACCCTTTTGATGCGCACCGTGAATTAATTGGCTTCTTTGGGAGGGCTGGACACAAGACCCCTTTTGTACCCTCTCAAGTACTTATTTCATTACTTTTCTTTTATAGAAAATCAAATATGATTCAAGCATAGACAAATGAAATAGTTCAATTAATGACTCCACTCAATTTTAAATTGTAATAAATAATTTTAGCATCTTGCTGCAATAATTTATGCAGGTACCTGAATTTAAGATTGATCATTTGAATGTTTCAAATTGTAGTTCAAATTCTCCACCTGGGGCAACTTGAATTTTATGAGCTGTTGCATGCTATTATACATCAAGTAAAATTCTAAATCAAATTCCCAAAGGTGGGGGACCTTGCTCAAGATAATCTCCCTTATCTTTAAATTAATTTTATGGTTGTATTATTATCAGAAAAAAATCTTAGAAAATCTTTGCCAAACATTGTTCTATTGTGTAACACTTGCATGCAATTTCCCATATTTATTATTTATTTCTAATACCCTAATAAATTCAGATTAAATCTAATTTCATGTTAACATTTTGCTTTCCAGACTTGTGGCAGACAATATTGATATAGAAGTTCAATCGCGCATTCAATCAACAAAGACAAAGAACAAATCTCTTCACTGGACGCATCAGTTTGCACTGCTAAACAAGGTACACCCTCCTCACAAGGCAGAATCACCAACAAGTGAGAAGACATTTGATTTGATGGACATTTTACCAACAGCCCAAGTTCAAAAGAATCTGATGAAACGAATGGCAGTTCTAGTTAGCCGTGTAATTATAAAGTATTTAAGCCATTCTCTTCACTTAAAGGGGTTGTGCAATACCACATTCCTCATGAATACTCAAAAGCAATGGAAGAAAAATCAGTCTCTGTGAGTTATGCTGTCATACAGTAATTTATTCTATTGATAATATAATGCATGCAATACAGCTAGTAGTCTTCATGATCAAATATTGCTAGATGCAACATACAATGTACATAGCATAAAAAGGTACTAGTACATACATGACATTTAACATAGTAACCAATGAACAAAATGTTTATTTTGTCATACAATATTGATGATATTAGATGTTTATAGACTGATTATTGATATCTGTGTAACATTATAGACAATATAAAAAATATTCAATTGATTTTTATCAAAATCAATAAAGTATTGTTTCAGGAATTAAATGTTTGCACTGTGACAATAAAATGAAATTGTTAAAGATATTATTGATAGGCTTCTTTGTAAAATTAAATATTTGTTCAATTTTTTAAATATTTTTACACAGAACCTTTTAAACGTGGAATTCTACAACCCCAATATTGCCGGGGAAATGGCACAGCTTATGCAGAAGAACCAATCCAAATATGTCCCAGTACTACAAAATGGTTCTGTTGCTGTGCTCATTCCATGGAGACCAGCTTTTTGAAGAAAGATCTCGAAATGTTCAATGGACATTTAGAGATGGGCAGACAGATGTAGAAAGACTTGTAGGATTAGAACCAGAATTTGCTGATTGGCATGCAAAATTTACTTTATATAAGGTGAAATATGTTCTAGCTCTATTCTATGAAAGATGGTAAGTTGAAAACTAATTTACTCTCAAATCTTAACATTGCAGGCAGAGAACAAATTATTTGTTAACCACTCCTCTGCAAGTGAAGTGGGGACGACCATGGCTAGTATAAATAGGACTGGCAAAAGCAATGCTGCCAAAGACTGCCACAACCATTATAATGAATATAATGAGTTCCATTCCAGAGAGACGGAAGCGCACATCTGTGCTTCTTTCATGGAAAAGATGAAAATGGACACTATGGATGGTAAAGTTGTTGATCTATTTTATTTATTCATTGGCATTTATTGAACACAGTTCTCATTTTTGAACACAGCTGAACCAAATGTTTCTATACCTGGTGATTCAATCTCCGAGTCAACACGGAGGCAGTGGCTTGATGAATTATGTTCTGACTTTGTCAGAGAGTATGTATTCGATGCCAATGAAATTGATGGGCTGATTGACAAGACAGCTGAGTTAGATCAAAGGCTTAGGCTACCTTTCTTATGTAGGTCTGAACATTGCCACAAAAGCTATAAATTCCATTCTGCCAGAGTCAGGTAAAGCAATTGGTATAATTTTTTAAGAAAATGTATAGTCAGATTTGGTTAACAGTCCAATAGATCCTACATTTTTGGTTCAAAANAATAAAAGCGATTGTATCTCGACCTTTAGCCCCATATTTCCTTCTGACGGTTTCTGTGACGATCATTCCAATAGTTGGCCACTCAAAAATTCTCGAAATKAAACTATATTATTATTTTACTGTACATGATTGCTATAGAAAAATACAGCTTTTTAAAGCAGTAAATATGCTAATAAGTAAAAGCGCAAACGTTATAAAAGAATTTAAGTCAGCTTTTTATTATTATTATTAATTAAGGCGCATATTTTTGACATCATGTGACGGGCTATTTATCGTGTGTTATGAATTCACGTGTTAGTGATCGAGTATGAGAAAAAGCAAAATTTCCTTTTTTGAGTGTTTGTCGAGGTTTACTACACAAAGACTAGCAATAAAAAGTTGTAATGTAATTTCATTACTGACAGTGTTGTTAATATTTTGAAAAAAGAATTTCTGCACGGCAAAACACCTTTTGTAAATTTACCGAAACAATTGRAAGCGCGTGCCTSAAGTCCCCCCCAAAAATTATTCCTTAGGGACAAAACCTTCCAATCTTCTCAAAATTCTAATGAAACACCCCTAAAAACAAAGGTATGCTAGGTAATGTTTTAGTTTAGAATTTTCATAACTCGCATCAACATCACTCATGGAGTCGTGCTCTTTCCAAGCTCTTGTGGGTGGTCATTGTGGTTTCAATCCCAAAGACAGATTTCAGTGCTTGACCAGTGTTCTACTGAAAGCGTAATATTGCTGAGTATAAGCGGTACTTTTGCTGGAATACATAAGCGGTAGTTTTGCTGGAATACAAAGTGCTCTAAGGGACCAGTAATATAATTAGAAGGGAGGGATGGGAATGAATTTTGACAAAAAAAATAGATTGGAAAATGGGATCAAACAGCCCTCCTCTCTACTGAGGGGCTTCACAAAATTATGTAAAGATTTTTAAGGGTTCCTTTTTTAGTTCATCCCATTCATCCCGTTCAGGTTTTTCTAGTGTTTAAGTATGAAATCAGTCAACTATTGACCATATGAAAAACGAGCAGAAGACTGAGAATGAGCACATTAAATGTTTTTTTTTCAAAATATGTCTTTAGAGTGCAAGGCACATAAGCATGAAACAATTCTTAACTATGTAGCGCTAAATAAGATTTAGTTATCAACTAACTAAGAATTGAGAACAATGCTACAAAGGAATTTAAATAATTGGCATTGTGTTTATGCTTTGTTGAATTCTTAGCTAGTTGATAACTAAATCTTATTTAGCAATACATATTAAGAATTGTTTCATGCTTACGTGACGTGCACTCTACCATATAAAAGAATACATCTAAACTAGTAAATTGGCAGAGTTTTAGTTTGAAATGTTAAATATCAGCAGAGTTGCGAGAATTTGAAATGTAGCTAAAAAGTGAAAACAAGGCTTGCGTCAATGCTGATTTTTACTTTAAAGTCTTTGCAATTTCAAACACCTGTAATTTCTGGTCCTTGAATGTTAGAGCAATCAAACTTTGAGATCTTTATTATTATAATATGTTCTTTCAACGGATAAAAAATTATCAATAAAGGCGTTGCGATAGCCACTCCCTTTTTCATATGTTCTATGAAAACATTATAAATTGCGATATTTTGAAAATATAGTATTTTGTTTCATAAGAATGGGTGGGTCATGTGAATTTATGTTTGCAGTTTGAATGAGNATCTTAACATTGCAGGCAGAGAACAAATTATTTGTTAACCACTCCTCTGCAAGTGAAGTGGGGACGACCATGGCTAGTATAAATAGGACTGGCAAAAGCAATGCTGCCAAAGACTGCCACAACCATTATAATGAATATAATGAGTTCCATTCCAGAGAGACGGAAGCGCACATCTGTGCTTCTTTCATGGAAAAGATGAAAATGGACACTATGGATGGTAAAGTTGTTGATCTATTTTATTTATTCATTGGCATTTATTGAACACAGTTCTCATTTTTGAACACAGCTGAACCAAATGTTTCTATACCTGGTGATTCAATCTCCGAGTCAACACGGAGGCAGTGGCTTGATGAATTATGTTCTGACTTTGTCAGAGAGTATGTATTCGATGCCAATGAAATTGATGGGCTGATTGACAAGACAGCTGAGTTAGATCAAAGGCTTAGGCTACCTTTCTTATGTAGGTCTGAACATTGCCACAAAAGCTATAAATTCCATTCTGCCAGAGTCAGGTAAAGCAATTGGTATAATTTTTTAAGAAAATGTATAGTCAGATTTGGTTAACAGTCCAATAGATCCTACATTTTTGGTTCAAAACTGTGTCATGTTTTATCTAACAACCTAATATTTTTTGCAGTCATGAAATACGTTGTCACAACCTCACGATTAACAAGTACGATAAAGATGAACGAGATGAATTTGGATACTTCTTCTGCCGTCATGGTTGTAACTTTGTCTACAGTACTAAAGCTATTAGAAATAGGTTGGTATAGTCAGAACAAACAATTGCCTTTCATACAATTATTGTTTTTGACAAGACTATTTACAATTATCATAACTACAATGTTTACAGTGTTGATACTGCCACCAAGACCACTTTGACTGACTGAGTGATAATAATTGCCAAGAGTACAAATTAAAGCATTAAAGTAAAATTTTTCATTGATAAGACCATGGAAAAAAACTTGAATTCCTAACCTGTTTTCATTTTCAATTATTATTATTATTACCAGATCTAAAAGTAGTCCCAGATAAATCACAAGCATTCTTACAGTGCAAAGCTAAATAGTATGACTGCAAATAATTAATTCACATTCTTTTCCTACATATGAATCAATTTTCAACATTACACAGATGTCAACATTACTCATTGTGAATTAAATAAAAAATTATTATTAGTCGTCAATTTCAATCTGAGTTGGAAAATAACTAAAATAGAGTATATTTTGCATGAAAGAAGGCATAGAACAATTAGCAAAAGAATGTGAATGAATTATCGGTGGTCACACTTTTTGGCTTTGTCCTGTAAAAGTATGTTCTGTATCAACACTGCCAATTAGAATATTCTGTTTTGTAACCATAAATTACTATAGTAATTATTTATCTTTTCTGCAGACACGAGTCAAAAGAACATCAAGAGCCTGTAGATGAAGGTCAAGAACAGCCTGAAATAGAGAAGCCATCCTATATTGTTGGATTTTACGAAAATGTAAATAAACGTTCTAGCGCTCACAGTGCAAATGCTAGAGATTTGTGAGTATATAAGGCAATGAAAATACAACACAATTGAGGCTAAAAATCGAGTCTATAATTCATATATAATAATTGTATAAAATAGCTTAAATATATTAATTAATAATTAATTCTATTATCCTGCCTCTTATACTAGCTATTCAGATGATTGATTGATTGATTGAATAAATTACGCGAAAGTAATACCTTCTTTACAAAATGATCTCAGCTTTGCCAGTTCGCCAAACGCCTTCCTAAATATTTTGTCGTTACCTGAAGCTTTCCTGTCAAGAATAAGCTTAAGCTTAAATTTATAAAATGTAGCTAACATAATATAAGACTTTAACCTTTGTACACGTACAAGTCTTAGTAAGTTACAAGCAGTAATGCAAAGTGCTTTCGTAAGCTTTATTAACTAACCTTCTGACAGTCCAGGTCTCGATAGTGTGGGACTCATCGATAACAACTGCCGCCATGTTATCGTGAAACGCTCCTACTTTAAGAACTTCCAGAAAGTTTTCTTGTAATGCACATTCAGGCGACGAATACACGAGTTTCCACTTTCCCTCTTTGATTTCTTCTAAAGATGCTTCTGGCAAAGAAGTGGCTGATATTCCTAGGTCGCGAACCTCCTCCAATTGATCTTCTATTAGACTTCTCAATGGTGAAATTACTAGTATCGTAGCGAATCTTGTCGTGGCGAATTTTCGTTTCAAAGCTTCACTTTGAAGCAATACCAAAATTTGAAAGATAAGGCTTTTTCCAAATCCTGTAGGTAATATCGCCAGTACATCTCGACGGCAATAAAGATTCTTGATGGCTTGCTTCTGTTCATCTTTTAGTGCGAATTTAAGGCCGGCATTTGTAAGTACTGTTGAATATAAGTCTTCGAAATCTTCTTCTAGAGCATCCGCCATCATGTTTACGAGTCATTTACGCGGGCTCGATTTACATACTGATGATTGATATGCATCGTATCGACCAATCACATTCTTCGTTCTCTGAGAGTACGAGGATTAGGCAAATCATGGACCCTTGTCTGTAGGCCCTTTTTCTTTCCTCTCCTCCCCAGGCCCCTTAAAAGGGCCAGCTACGCAGGCTATAGTAAACCCTCCACTACTAGCATATATTTTCATCATCGTAAAGGTGTGTAAAGGTCCCTTAGTCATCTTTAATATTTTACAGTAAAGCTATGTAAATGTACCATTAACGTCCCTTTAAATTCCCTTTAATCATGATTAAAGTTTACATTTCGCCCTGTG